CCTGGAAGACCCACACCAGCCATCGTATTCCGGCTGTGAAAGCCTTCGACAATACATTGAATCCCTTTACTTCATAAAAATGAGAAACAAATAGCTGTTTCTCCTGAGACCTTATTGGGCAGGCCTATTCCAATCAGAAGTATTAGGATGAACAGAAATACACATCCTCTCAGTCTTATACATACTTAATACAAATTGTTTGTTCTCCATGTCAGTTGTTGGCAGCCATTGGACTTTGGGGGAATCGTGTATCAGTATCAGATGCTGGGAAGTAGCTTTATTGTATAGGAGAAGTACAGGAGAATTGATGCACCTTCCTCATCAAGAATGAACTGCCTTGACATGGTGTAGCTGAGAGGTGAGGGGTGGGGAGAAGATATAACTAGAAAGATGTAAGAATAGCAGCCAATTGTTCCTTTTGTGGTCTAATGATCGTAATTATCATAGACATTAGGCTAGTAATATTCCCTTTGCAATGAGAAGGAGACTTAGGTTGTTTGTGTATAAGGTGATTCTAACTCCAAAGAATTTTTAAATATTGCATATTTGATATTTTTTGGCAGGTTTGACACTGATCCATCATGTCAGTGATGTTATGCATGTACCTTTTGCCAGTATGGATAAAGATGCAGTTTTGAATTAATCAATCCTTGTACTTTACATGTAGATGTTGCCAGTAAGAACATAGACACAGCTATAGAGTAACTGTTGTATTTACAGAGAGAATTTTTTTTTTCTCAAATACTTTTGAAATAGAAAAGTAAAGTTAGATTTATTAAGAGTTAATGCAGACATATTTGTTTATTATTATGATTTATATATCACTTAAGTTAGCAAGGCTCAAATTAGATAAAATACATAAATAGGAACTCATCTCTGTCTTTTTTGATAAAATATTCTTAAATTCAGGTTTCTCTTCCTTTCAATTAAATAAATAGTTGTTCTTTTAGGAAAAGCTATATACTTACTTGTCAGATTCAGCCCAAAGAACTCCACGAGACAGCACAGGTCTAGTTCAATAGCTTTTATTAGCTTTCACCCACAAAACAGAATCCTGCCAGACTGAATCTAAACTTCTCAAGCCAGCAAGCAAACACTGCGAATTCCTTAAGGTGGTGCCAGTCTTATCCTCTTAACCTTCCCACTCTCGTGCTGGGGGCTAAGGAAATGCTTATCTCCCTGAGTGCGGCCTTCACCAAACCATTCCATCACAATACTATATTTACCAGTAGGTTCTCTATATAAATAATACTTGGAGCTTTACTCCTTTAATATTATTATTTTTCTTCTCAGAGGTTGTCTGGGCAAGGCTATTGCTTTTCAGCCTCTCTGCCTCCTCTCCTAGCTGCTGCTGCCATTGAAGCTCTCAATATCATGGAAGAAAATCCAGGTAATTTTTCAAGAACTTAATAATTTTAGAGAATCAAGTTATGTTTTGAAAAGTACTTGAGCTTTGAGAGATATGGATTCATATTCTGGCATGAACTTACTGGGTAGTTCTGATTATGTCAGTCACAGTTGCCTGTAAGGTAACATGGGATTGCAGTTCATATTTAATTTGAACTGAGAGTTTTCAGAATGATATCTATGTTAGATATATAGATATATTATAAACTTATGCCTATCTTAACTGCAGAGAGAGAGGCATAATGTGGTAGCAAAGTTTGCAGATGATGCATGCGCATCAGGAAAGGCTTTCTAGTAGTTTGAGTGACTGTAAGAAATGTTTAAAAAGTTTCATTTCATGCACTGTACCATAGAAGAAGAGAGAACAGTGATATTCTTTGAAAAATGCTGTCATATTCCCCACTCAGTCATTTAGCAAGGCTAAACATGCTCAGCTTCTTTATCTTTCTTCACAGGGATTAATTTCTAGTTCCCTGAACATCCTCACTGCCCTTCCTTTGAATCTGGTCCATTTTCTCTGAATCCTTCTTAAAATGTGGTACTCAACCCTGTACACAATAGTCAAAGGGGGATCACACCAAAGCAGAGTGGATGATGACGATTCTTATAATTTAGAAATTATATTTTAGTTGATGTACCCTAAAATTGCACTTTTTCTCCTTTTTGGTGATAGGAACAGCATTTGTTTTTCTTCATTCATCTAGCACTTCATTAGTTCTCAGGGATTCTCTGTAGGTAATACACACGGATTTATCCAGACTAGTTACACCAAAATTTTGGGGTGTAATCTGATTCTGGAGATTTAAACAAATTCAAAGTAAAGACATATTCCCTGACCACGTTTTTTATTAATTTCTAGCTTCAGTCCTGCCCCTTCAGCCTGCCCTTCACAATTTCCTGGTGGCATACACACTTACTTGATTACAGAAGATTAAGTAGGTCTGCTTTTTCTTCATTTTTGCCTTTATTGGCCAGTTGGTATACTTTTCCTATCCTTTTATTTTGAAAATATCTAAATCCTTTTTTCATTATTCTTAATACCCTTCACTATCTCTGGCTCATTCTCACCTTTGACTTTCCTGATGCCATCTCCACAAATCTAGGTTACCTATTTGTAGTCATCCTTTTTGAAGGCTTTCTGGCCCTCTTTTCATTTCTTACATATGTCCTTTTTCTTTTCAGATCTTCCTTAAGCTTTTTGTGTAGCTTCTTTTGCTATCCTGCATTTTTCTTCCTTACTGAATTTGTTTACAGTTGTGTTTTTTAGTATCTCCTTTAGGACTTCTCACCTACCTTAAGCTATTTTTCTCATTAGCTGGAAGAGTTTTCCTCCTGTCACAGGGACCTACTTGACATTGCTCTGAACTTACTAACATCCACTTTTTTGAACATTCAAAGTATAAGCAGTTTTATTTCCCTTTAAAATCATGAAGATTATGTGGTTATTTTCCTCCAGTGTTTCTGCTACTTCCATTTTCTCCACTAAACATTATCTCTTGATTGGTATAAAATCAAGGATAGTTGATCCTTTTCTGCCTTCCTAGACCTTTGAGGAAGAATGTTGTCAGCAAGACAAGTCAGGAATTTCTGGGAAGGATTGCGCTTGGCAAAATTTCTCTCTCGTTAATGTCAGGGCAATTAAAACCCCCATTACTACAAATTCATATCTCTTAGAAAGTTTGCTTTTGGAAAGCATCATCCACAGCTCCTCTTTGGTAGGGAGGTCAATAATAGTATTGCTTAATTTGTTCCTGTATTTATTTTAACTTATAACATTGGCATGTTCATTGATTTAGATATCTGAGCAGGAATGGATATGTTTAATGTACTGTGCAACCTTTCCTCTCTTCTGTTGCTTCTGTTCCTTTCAAACAAATGGTACCTTTACTTCCTATATTCCAGTTGTGGGAGTCATCATATTTTCCCTGTTATACAAAGAACTCAAACTCATCTTGTTTACTTTGGTACTCTGAGCATTAGTGTATAGGCAGTGTTCTTTATGAGGCAGTGTTCTTTCTGATTTTTCTTTCACCCTTTCTTTAAGAGGCTCCATTTCAGCAACATTCCCATTTATTTTAAATTAATTTATTATAGAATCATTACATAATATATAATAAATATTTTATAATAAAGTAATTTATTATATGTATAAGTATTTATCTGAGATACTTATGAGAGGATTTTTGTTTCTGCCTCCCATGAAGTTCAGTTTGAAGCCCTTTAGTGTACTTCCCCATATTTTGGCCAAACACATTGTACCTGTCTTTGTTAAGTACAACCCCTTCTCATTTCAGCAGTTTATCATCTAGGTAACTCAAGCCATGATTCCAGAAATCAAATCCCTCCTATTAACCTCACTTATGTAGCTTATTATTGATCTGTAGTATTCTTCATTCCATTTTTAGTCCTCTTCCATGGGCTGAAAGGATGGATGAGAATAACACCTGCACCACATACCCAGAGTATTGGATTTCTTTCTTCAATGTTTAAAGTTTGATCACAAGGTGATAGTTGTTCTTTACAATAGCACTTGTCTCCAAATGTATCACCAGGAAGAGATAATTTTCACTGGATTTGACATATCTTGGATGTTGTTGTTCTGTTGCATCTTCAGTTCTTCCTCTTGGCAGATAGCACCCTTCACAGGCTGATGGGTCTGACTGACTTATTTTTCTCTTAATTCCTCATACCTGGACAATCCTCTCTGCCCTTTAAGGATTTACCATCCTGTCTCCATTTTGGTGTTGAAGTCCTATGCCTATAAAAAAAAAACACCAATCCTACCCTGATGTCATTATATCATCATCAACACTCCCTGAGTGCTCCTTGTGTGCCAAAATGATGATGTAAAAAGTGTGGCCATCAGATGTAAAAGATTGCCAGCCCCAAATATAGTCTCAGCCCTACAGTGGATAGAAGAGCTTTAATACAATAGAGTATTCATTGCCATCAGCATTTTTATATCTCTTCTGTTGCGGTCATGAGCTTTCAGGTTTATTAAAGAAAGACATCATTTGAAAAGAAATTGGATAGGAACAATCTTGGAACCATAGTGACAAAACCACTCTGCTTTTGTGGTCCACAAAAGACAAATTCAGCATTAGGATTTGTTATAAAAGGTTGGAAAATTGTAAATAAAATTAATGACATTAAAAACTCTTAGGATGTCATCATACCAAATTGTGTGTGCAGTTGTACCTGTCATTAAATGAATATTAGAGAAATGAGAGAGGAATAGAAGATGAGCAGTTAAAATGTTCATAGAGAGAGCCATTTTTCCTATGAAGCTACAACCCGCTTCCTTTCTGCAAGTGACTCAGTGCATTAGAAGGAAAAGGTGCTTGATTCTTGAGCAGTGTTTCTCAACCTTGGCAACTGGAAGACGTATGGACTTCAACTCCCCAGCCAGCTGGGAAGTTGAAGTCCATACGTCTTCCAGCTGCCAAGGTTGAGAAACACTGCTCTAGAGCAAGAACACAGCATTTCTAGACTCAGGGCCATATTTGGTCTTTAAGCCTTAAGCTGGGAGTCATTCTCCCCAAAATAGTTGGCTTGGATAGGACAAAACTAAATTTGATTTATTTTATTTACATTTAAACTCAAGTATAAATGTGTTAATAGGATTGCTTTTCAGTGGTGTTTTAATACTTTTCTCTTTGGTTATATTAAACAGTATAACCTGGAAGCTGCACCTCTTTTCTAGAGTCCCAGATTCTAAAATCACCATTCTCCATGCTTCTTTTCATGAAAATGAAGTTAAGAGAGTCTTCTTATACATCAGTGTGATGCTGCATACTTGACATGTTTGTGGCATTTCCTGCAAGCTTTTTGTTACAGAGCAGTTCAGAAGCTCTTAATGGAAACAAGGACAAACTCTTATTTGTTAGTCATTTAGTTTGAGAACAAAATGTCCAACTCTTGCCATGTTGCCATATCCAGTTCTATTCTAGAATACCTGTTATCTGTTCTTCCAAGCCTGGAATAATATCTGGGACCCACATGTTTCTGGGATCAAGAATCTAGAGTGTTAATGTATTTGTATCTTTTCTCTTATGACTTCTGAAAGTGGAAGATTGGAAGAAGGAACAAGTAGCAGTCTAGTCTTGAATAGCTATTTAAACTGGTATATCATGTTTAAATAATTAAGCTGATATTCAAGGATTTTTTGTTTATTTTTTGTTTAGGCATTTTTCAGGTTTTACAACAAAAATGTAAGCACATATACAAAGTTTTACAAGGGTAAGTAAATTCTTTGTCACCTTATTTAAAACTTGACTTTTAGAAAATGACTTTTAAAGGATTAACAGTAGTGGACACATTCATAGTTTTAAGCTCTATATTTAAGCTACTTTAGTAAGAACTTCTGCATTTACTACAGCTATATCCTAGAATGGTATAGTTAAAAAGCAATATTTTTAAGTTGAAAATAATTTGTTGTGGTACAGTATAGGCCACATAGTCAAAATTTGTCTTGTGTTAAAAATAATTCTTCCAGATATTTCAGTGATAGGCATGTATTAAAGTGATCACAATGCTTGAAACTGTGATGCAGATAAACATGTTATATACAAAGTCGTTTTTAGGTAACCACAGCTAGTTTTCCCTTGGAAATTGCATTATCAGAAAATACAACATTAATAACAGAAATGCAGTCTGTTTTTAAATGAAAGTTGGGACATAATTAAGGTATAATTACTTTAAAAAAACAAGTTGCTTATTACTAATCACCTTCACTATCTTCTTGAAAAATATCCCATTTGAATTATGGAGGTTTAGCACATGCACTAATGCAGAGACTGTTGACAAGACCTAAAGTGCAGTTATTTTAACCTCTTGTGAGAAAATCATGTCTGTGTACCCCAGTATTTTTTAAGCAAGATATGTCATGTTACAGTCCTCTGAGTCTTGATTAGGGTGTTTGCAGTTCTTATCCACCAATCTGTCCTTGGTTTCTCCTTTAAAGCTCTAACCTGGGGCTGGACATAAAATGGAAAATGTTTTGTTTCAAACCTGAAACCAAAATATCACATTCCAGATGTTCTGCTGAACTATTCTGGATCAGCCATGGTTCAGCAGGAACAAAACGTGGAATATTTTTTTGCTCCAAATTTTGCCCAAAACAATACCTGCAGGGATGTTGTCATGATTTTTATGGAATAGTGGAGCCCTCTCTCCCCCTAGCAACTTCCAACATAACATATCCCACTAGCTCATCCATTCCTTCATCTTCCCAAACATCCCTTTCATCCTCCCTTCCCCTTCCCTGTCTCTTCTCAGCCACTGTTGCTGATGTTCCAGCCTGGCATATCCCATCATCCTACCTGCACCTTGAACTTCCCAATGGCTTTTACTTTCTTGCTATCCTTCCCTTTCTCAACTACCAATGTCCTTGGCTTTTCTTACTTTTACCTTCCCCCAAACACTGAAATTAGTGTGTTGCAGTTTATATCCAAAACAAAAGACTCCTGCATTATTTCATGTCCAGGCTAAATATGTATGCTTGAGCATTAACCACCCAAAACTACCTGTACCATGCACAGAACAATTTGAGTATGAACCATTGCTACATCTTTTCTAGCTTACATTTTCATTGGGTACAAATTGTGTGGATTTCTGCTGTGTTCCTTTAGTACAGCGGTTCTCAAACGTTTTGGCCTCAGGACCCTTTCTTAAAAATAATTCTTTATTCTTAAAAATAATTGAAGACCCCAAAGAGCTTTGGTTTATGTGGATTATATCTATCATTATGTACTGTGTTAGAAATTAAAACAGAAATGTTAAAATATGTATTTATTTGACTTCTTGGAGCCCCTGAAAGTGTCCCAGGGATCCCCGGCGGTCCCCAGACCACACTTTGAGAACTGCTGCTTTAGAATATGATCAGTTTGCTTATAAAAGCTAACTGCTGTTCTCCCACACAACTTCTAATTGCCTGACCTTTTGTCTGAAAGGGCCTGTGTCTGTCTCTTTGCTTTGCTTATTCTTTTCTGACGAGATGTATACTTGAGTCAGATGACAGTTTATTTTAAGTAACTGACGAAAGTAACATAGAAATCAACTTGAGGTTTGTATAGCAGCCTCTAGAAATTCAGACTATGTTTATTACAGAGTGTTGTTTGGCCAAAACCTGAAAATTTCAAAGCTTTGATTTGTCTGAGGTTCAAAGGTGTCTTCTCACATTGCCTCAGCTGTTCCTTTTACACCCATTATTTTCATTTCTGAAATATTTTAACAGTCTGTTTTGTTAGAAATGTCTGAAGGAATTCAACAGTAAGCATGAAAGTATTGCTTCCAAGAATAGTATATTAATTTCTTAATTTTCATCTTGCTGCTTACTGGTAACAGTGACCCATGATACAATACTGTTTTGCTTGTTAGTAATTTAAACATTCACATTATTCTAGTTCTAGACATGTTGTTTTCTCATTATTAAAAAAAAATCATATCTACTGAACCAAGTGGCAATTTGCAATGTGTGTAATTGTGATAATTACCAACAGCACTCCATTGGGATTATAACTTCCCACATTATTTCAAATTGCTCTCGATTGTTTGCATATTTATTATGAGCTTCTTGGATTCTATGCTGCTATTGAATTATTCTTCTTTAAATAGTTATGCTTCTGTGTTAGACACTGTAACATGTATGTAATCAGGAAATTTATCTTGTATAAAAATCTGAATAATTAACTATATTTTAGGCTCTAAATTGCTGATAGGATTTCAGATAATACTGACATACTTACATTGTGATCTAAACATAGCTGCTGTTTCTCTCTTGTTAATGGCTTTCTATTTTAAATAGCTTTCATAACAAATGACTTAAATTGCAAAATCACAATAAATATACATTCATAGCATTTTTAATCTGCTATCTTTTGGAAATTAAGATTTTTTTCAGGTAATCCCTGCTTCTTTCTAAAATAATGTTTGTAAGTCTCTCCATGCACATCTTTGCATTGACTTTATATAATCTATTTAGGACATTGTCCATTTGTTCTAAATTGTCAATTTCAATTTCATTTACTCACTTTCAGTCAATTAGATTAGCAGTTCTGGGTTGTTAATGCTTTTGTGAATAACTGGTAGAAGTAAAAGTACAGGTTAGGAAATACCTTTTTTTCCAACCATCCTAGATTAGAAGTATATTTTTGGCACATACAACTCTAAGTGGCCCACTGTGGTCAAGTCTTCCAAATTGTGAGTCATAAGCTAGAGCAATAGCTTGTACAGCAGTGGGAGAAGAAATAACTGCAGGAACAATGCCTAGTCATGCTATAGCTTCATGGAGCATTTCCAGAAGTAGCATTGTATGCTCTTTAGAGTACCTGGAACTAAATGATGTCATAGGAAAATTACCATTCATCTAATCTAGGAATGTTTTTCTTTTGTTGCTTAACAAGTACATGTAGAAAAATACTGATAATGCTGATAGCTAACCTGAACAGGAACAGAAAAGTAGATCAGGCGGGATAGATAGAAGGACCATTCATGGCTGTCTGTAGCTAATACTCACAACCTTTACTGCATGCTGTTTGCACCTACTCTCAGTCTTATGGAAGATTGTGGAAAATGATCTTAGTGATCAGGCCATCTGCCTTGAGGTGAAGTGTGGACTTGATTATATAATTCCTGCTTTGCAGCCTTGCGCAAAACCAAGCAGTGTGTTATATTCAGTTCACTGTTATAACAAAATTATTAATGATTTCGCAGTAAGTTTTATTTAGTTGCATTCCTAACCCTGTATTTGGTTTAATGTGGTTTGTTTTTTTAGAATTCCTGGTCTACGAGTGGTGGGACAGTCATTTTCCCCAGCATTACATCTCCAGTTAGAAGAAAGTACTGGATCTCGAGAAAGTGACATGAGGCTACTGAAAGAAATTGTAGATTATGTAAGATTCCTTTTTAAAATGTTGAATCTTTCAAAGTGGACTTGTTAAGAAGCATGGCTTAATAGTTTATTGCTTTGTCATAAGTCTTGAATTAAGTTGCATCTGTCCTTGGTATCTGCTGGTATGGCTGCAAAGAGAGGATGGCAGACCAAGTTCATCACAGTCTGAAGTTGGCTTGTTTCAATAAACTTCATTTTACATTAACCATAGTTTATTATGAATTGAACTGCAGTATGAAACCAGTGTTGTTAATGGTAGCAAAAGGTTCTGCATACTTCAAGGGTGCAGTACAGGAGAAGTGAGGTGGGAGTCAGCAAGTTAAGTCTTCTGTATGTTAAAATTTTGGTTGAGTTCATATATCACATGAATCCATAGTTTTGTGGAATGAGCCACAGTATGTGGCTTTATGCATTATGCTAATCCATAAACTAAATCATAATGGCTAGAAGTAGACACCATGCTATGCACAAATGGGAAGGTAGTTTTTACTAACTGGAAAAAAGGAATAGTAGTGAGAACTAATAGAAGAGAGGTGCTTTATGGCAAGGGGTGGGGCGGTTGTGAGGAAACCTAAAGAGAAGATAGCAATAGCAGAAACTAGGATAAAAACTAGGACCAAAAAAATTCCTACTGTATATTAACAGTGTTTAATAATCAAAACGTCAATGAGCAGCTCATATACTTAGCTGTGTAACTGTTTCCATGCCTTTTTTCCAGTGTATGAACAGAGGAATTGCTTTAACTCAGGCTCGCTATTTGGAAAAAGAGGAGAAATATCTCCTTCCACCCAGGTTAGTACTAGTTTATTCTACTAAAACAAAATTGCTTGGGTCCAGTTGCATGGTAGTGTTGGAACCTCTAGATTTTAAATATTTAATTTAAATATTTCAACTGTGTTTCTAGATTGTCATTAAGCAGAGATTAAGAAAATTATATGATTCTTTTTTATTCACTGATTGAGCAATGGAAATTAATCTGGAGCACAAACTTGAGGATGATCTGGGCACAAGAAAGCAGAAAGCAATAAGAAACAAATAACTTTTACATGAAGCTCCCTCAACCTGATGGAATCACAAAACATGTTAAGCTGTGGTTGATATTGAGTCAGTCCATTGGCCGGTTGTTCCCAATATCATCTGTTTGGAGTAACAATCCTTCTTCTCAGATTGACTGTCTTGTTTATAGTATTTTTATTTATCCATTTTTTAAATCTACCTTTCTCTCAACAGAAGCAGGCAAAGCAACTAAGGAAGTCCAGAAAACAGTCAGAATTACACTGACAGTAATCTTTATTATTATATTTATAAGTAAGATAACCACAAAGGGTGCAAATAAAAGAAAGCCAACCAATATATAACAGTACAAAATCACAAGTTATTGGAGAAGTCTTAAACTGCAAATAAAACCTCAATAGAGAAGGCAATCTACATTCTTAGACTAGGCTCGCTTACTTACTGCCAATCCATGCCTTAGAAGATCTTGGTAGAATTACGATATTCTATGGATTAATTTTAAAAGACATGCAGTTTTGCATGTGTTTGAGGGTAGAGACAAATATAATATCTCAAATAACCTTTAGGGCTTGGAAGATAACTACACTATCGATTGCATTGTGAAAGAAATCAGTAGCCATCACCGTTGATACAATAAATCTAATTACAGGTTTTAACTTCATTCAGTAGGTACAGGTCTACCTGTATTAACCTCTAGATATTGTAAGGCAATTGTTTTGCTACACAGCAAAGAGATGTCGATTGATCTGTTTTTCTCCCTTCCAGCATACGAGTTGTAGTGACCGTAGAACAAACAGAACAGGAACTGGACAAAGCTGCCTCCCTTATCAGAGAAGCTGCAGAATCTGTACTAAACTGAGGCTGGATCGCTTGGATTTCTGTCTCACACAACACTAGGATACTGTTTTTCCTACAGTGTGATGACTTGCACTTCAAAGATTTAAGTTATTCAGACTATCATCTGATGGAACTGAAAGCTTGACTTTATTGGGTCATTTCACACACAAAAACAGATATACAAATACTGGAATACTGAACATACACTGTATGTGTAAAATTTAGCTCTATTTTTAGATAGTTTAAATTGGGGATCATTGTTACACTGATATTTCACATGAGCAAAATGTCATCTCTGTTCCTAAAAATCTTCTTTCTTTCCCTAGTTTTCTAAATGCATAACAAACTTTTTTTGAAATATAATGTTAAAGAACATGAAAGGATTATGAAATATTAGTTTAATCACTCTCAATAAAATATACTGTTTTGAACATTTTTCAGAAGGTTCCTGTTGTCAAAATGGATACTTAAAATGATATTATGGGATCCTAGTTTAGAATTAAGTACTTAAGGAGCTTTTATTACCCTGGTATATGAATTTTTGTTCAGATCATTCCACCTTTGAAATTCTAGAAAACATCAGCTTTTTAAAAATCTTGTTGAATTTAAATCACATATCTCATTTCATTCCAGTACCATTATGAGTTGCCATTTCCCTTTATTCACTATATACTTAGCTTTTACACCAGTGCCCCAATCACCAATACTGCGGTCATTTAGAGCCATAATATGGACATAAAGTTACCTATTTACACTTCAGGTCGAGCGTCCAGTGCTTTGTATATTAAAAGAGTTTTACACAGGGTTGATGTCTTCATTAAATACAGTTTGAGAGCCAGTATTTGACAGCAAGAATAGAGATTGGGCACAAAGAGAATATAACAGTAATTTGGTAGGTGCTTTAATCACTGGATAAATTAGTTTAGTAATGATATCTATGTTATATATGCTTACTCATCAATACTGCTAAAATTTTTAACAAATTAAAAATTTGTACATGTCATTGCATGGAGTACATATCACCTGTAATAAAGTATTTCCAAACGTTATACCTAGAACCTACTTGTTTGAGATCACAATTAAAATCTTTGGTATACATTTGCAGGAGATTAAAGCAACAGTCAGTTATACTGCAGAAGATACAATATGCAAACATTCTTGTAGCCTTCAAGATAGCTGAGATGTTGTATTACATGTAGTGTGAATTGCCATAAGTAGGGTTCCAAAGTCATGATTAAGACTATGTTTAAGATTTTCCAATATGTCCAGGTTGGATTCTTTACCCTTGTGCCTTCTTTGGTTGCTGCTAAATGGATTCCAGTGCTATATTTGGACATATTTTTTTAATAAAAACATATATTTGATCCAGTATTTGAGTTATTTCTGAATTCTTGGTTTGTTATGTTGTACTCAATTGTGTGCATCAGTTGCAAGAGTTGTTTCTGATTCAAAAAATAGCAATCTGGTTTGGACTGATTTGGAGCACCTCCTATCACAAATTTAAATTTCTTTTGACAGTTATTTGAAATCAATAGTTAGTTTAAAGTCTGTTACATAATTGGATGATATTGTCAGTGCTATTCCTCCAAATTGCCTCATCCCCAACCCAGCAGGTAGCTATCAGATTCTATTCTAAATTTATTCTAAATTCTATTATTTTATCTTCAGTAAGATAATTAAGTTGTAAAGATAAATAATTACAGTACAGAGGGTTCTTCAGATTTGACCAAATTTTCCAAATCTGAAGGCAGATATATAAATTGAATACACCAAAATGGACAAAATTTGAATCTCTAGACATTATTTAGGAATATAGAAACTGGGCAGAATTAATTTTTTATGTATCATACCTGAATGTGCAGCACCTGATCTAGTGTTTCTAGTATCTCTAAACCAGTACTCCAGGACTATACCATCTGTATATGTTGTCTTGAAATATTTGCAGTTTAACAATTGTTTAGAGGTGAAAGTTATAGAATAGTATTGGAACATAATTTAAGACTGCAATTAGAACCAGCTCTAATAGCATGACAGAATTGTGACAGAAGAAAAAAAAACTTACATCTGTATCAATCCAGTTCAGGGAAATCACACAACATTTTGCACCAATAGTACTTAGATTTATGAATTCCATTAATCTTCTGGGTGGGGTGATGAAGGGATTTAATAATAGAAACTAATGTTTTATGTGACAGAATGGAAAACCTGAGGGGAAAGGATTATTGAAATACTTAAAATTATAAAGAAAATGTCTCTTCCAAAGCTAATAAGAATAAAACATCCCAGTGCTAAGAAAAGAGGTGTTTGCAGTCTTTCTGCTTAAAGCCCTGAAATGCAGAATTTGCCAATCCTGAGTCACAAGGATAGCTGCATAACCTATATTAATGGAAGACTGTGACTGAATATGTGGTAGTGGAAGTGGCAAAAGGAATCTTTATTTTGGTTTATTCCCTACCTCTCTCTCCAAAAGAGGACAGAATCTATTAGACCCAAATAAATTTGAGGAATAAGATAAAATAAGGTTATAATCCATGTGACTATAGCACTATTCTTTTCAATCAGTTTGCATTATTTCAGGGGTGAAGAAATTTGCGTTGTGCTGACAGAACACAAACTTTTAGTCCAATCCTTCAAAAGCTGTTCTGCCCTTCTCCTTCCAAATGGACCAAAAGCATTGTATTTTCCACACAACTTCCTTGTTGAGATTCTGCCTAGCAACACAAGTCAACATAATCTCAGCAATTTCTAAGAAGAAAAATATACTTTGGGATCTACTAGAATCTTCCTCAACCTTCATTTGTAACTTCAAAATGTATAGGAAGTGTAACTCCCAGAATTCCTAGCCAATCATTAACAGGAATTCTTAGAGTTATAGTCCCAAAGAATTTATAGACTAAACAAAGGAAGGCTGATCTAAAGATTCTGTTGCTTGGATTATATGCATTTTAATTTTCTTAATTTTTTTTTAAATCTTGTTTTTTCCTCACTTTTTCTCAGAATTACAGATTAAAACACTGGATATTAAAATGCATCCTGGAGAACCCTCAAGATTGTGAGAATGACCTATTGACATCTGTTAATCTGCAAATGAAA